TTCAAGTCGTTTACTTCTCCCTGTACTCAGCAAAATAGACAACATATAAATATACAGTGATTACTTGGATAATTTGAAAACCAAGAGACCAGTACCAACTAGACTAGGTTAAAACTTGGAACTTGGTTAAAATTCAGACTGCGGTTTAAATATAAATATGGCTCAATATTTCGACGATGTTCTGTGATGCGGAAGATTGAGCCCATCATCTTCATGTCATGTTTTTACGAGATCTGTTTCTAAATTTATGGATGTGGTTTATAAAAAACAGGCGCTTTACTTTAAAATGTATTATTGAGTCTAACTACAGTAGATTAATTTCTTGTCTGATGTAATTCATTGTGCAATTAATAAACTAATGTAAAGTTATGGTAGCGTTATACTTTCTTCTGTTAGATACGTAATAAGTAGGATTAAATTTTCATTAACATCAAATATCAATGAAAAACATTCTGTTAATTTAAATGGTCACTAGTTGTTTCAAGCTATTTTACTCTTTGGCGGTTGTTTTTGCTCATGTCCTGTATGACGTCTCCAGAATCCATTGTCAACATCCTGAAGATCTGTCTGTTCGACTGCAGTTGTTTTAGATTGAATTGCGAACTCTACTCAGCAAATCAACGGTTCACTTTGATTTTCCGTTGTCTTCGTTTCTGACTAAATACTTTATGGAGCATTTAGAAACATCAGCATTCGTCACCTCTGACAAAAGATACAATCCCTCTTGTTCAAATGGCGGGTTGAAGACATTCGCCATCTGTGAAAAACATTCTGGATCACCAAACACCCTGTATTCAAGTGAAATAAAATTTACGATATGAGTTGAACAAAACAACTGCATTCTTTTTCTGAGCGCACTGATCAGGAGGAGTTGGCTTACATCCGGAGAACTCTCGTAAGCAGTGATTACCCGCGACAGCTCGCGGCATTGAGGAATAAAGAAACGAATGAAGGAAAGCATTCGAAGCGAACAACAGAATTTCAACGCTAGCATTATTGTTCCATACGTACAACATCTAAGCTAAATGCTGCAGAATATCACCCGAAAGGGTCCAATATGGCCGGTATTCAGATGCCAAAAAACATTACAGAGCCAGTTTATGTATATCAACCCCATCTAGCTGACATCCAAACAACCAAGCTATGTTTACACCCTACTTGTGAATGAGGCCCACTTACATACAGGAACTGAGTGACATTGTAGAAGCCCCTCCTTCCCCCTCCCCCTAGGCAACCAAAAAGAACTTATCAGTAACCTGACAAGATGGTGCACCGCCGATCTACGTTGGAATAGACAAGCACAAAAAAGGAGGTAGGCTAATGAAAAATTCATGGGTGGTGAATGAGCAGTGTGTGAAAAAAAACTGGGCGGTTATGGAGCATGCAGTACAAAAAGGACACTACGTATTATAAGACCAAATGAAGGGAATTCCGAATGAACGTTGGAAGCTCTGTCTGACGCGTCTGCCTCCGCGACCTGAAAGGAGAAGCGGCGATGGAAGATGAAGAAGAAGATTACGAAGGGAATTCACTGAGAAAGAGACAGCTTCCAAGCCATCAGAGAATGGAAGCCTTGGCAATTCGATCGAATGAATACAGCAATAAGGATTTTGCTATGGAACTAAATTCGTCTTTGAACTTAACCATGAAGCAGCTTTCATAACCGCTTCATGGCGAAGTTGCTCCCTGACCACGCCAATTTTTTCTTTAACATCTGTTTCCAGTGTACTTCTAGCTGAAGACGGTTCTAACATGATGTGAAACGTTGGAGAATATTTATGCAATAGATTCGATATGCGGATTCGTCGCCGAAAATTTTTCCAACAGTAGACACTGAATAGTAGACGGCGGATGCATAATTTCGGAAACATGATATGTTGATAAATTTTATTTCGAAGTATACATAATCAGAATTTTTGATAAAAATTCAAAATTCATCACCGGGCTAAAATTATTTAGACGGTCCTAAATTTACAGACAAATCAAAATTATGACATAATTACGATATTGCGAATTAAGCAGCTTTGCAGCACATATGCAATGTGCACTGGTGTTATAAATCCGTTTCGATTTTTGCCCGCTACACGTAAACTTGTAGTGCCGAATTCTGGCACAAACGAAAGTAGCATTAACCACATGCTTTTATTCCGGTTCTAACAGTGTGCGTGAGGATTCTTATAGTGTGGCTGTAGTGTAGTCGCACAAACGAAGAAAACTCACAGACATTCGAAATCCAAAAGTAGATTATTGTCCAGTAAAAGCGTGTGCGTTTGAAATAGGATATCCTACTCTAATTATGTGATCAGTCATAATGACTTCTGCATTGAATGACTGAGATACAGATATGACAATTAATCTTACTTTTAACACGTGAGGGTAAAGAAAACAAAACAAACCTGCTTACTGTTAGCGTTGGATAATAGCAGCTCATAAATAGCATAAGATAACACGTGCAACGATTAGAAAAGTTTTCTAATGTCTCACGGCTTTCGGATCTTTGGTGTTTAAAATTCACGTCGAATATGGAATTACTATTTAATGGAGGACCTATGGCGTAGTTGGACTTGATGACTTTGACTCGTGGCAAGTATCGAAGTACTTTTAATAAAAAGTGTGCGTTTTGTTTAACGCTGGGTGTCAGAATATTGCCTGTCATATTGATTTGACCAGATGCCAGCTTAAATACACGGAAGGGGCTGATGTGTAAATCTGAGGACCGTTAGACAAACCAGTTAGACGTATTCTGAAATGACGTATCTGGATAAAGTCTAGATATTAATATCGAAACATATTTTTGCAGTTATTCACCTGGCGAACGACGAACTCGCGCACCGCCACCCGTTGACAACAGCGATTTGGCGGAAAGCAGGCAGAGCGCGTTTTTCGAGGAGCTGCGTTCCGGGGATGCAATGATTGCCCGAGTGGAGTACGATCGCATTGGACAGAATGCTCAGGAAATGTCTGTGACAAAGGGCGAATACTTGGAGGTGAGTACGCTTGTTTACCACCGTTTTTTCGACGTTTCCTTTTAATGTGCCACCTGTGTCAAACCTCCCTTCATCCTTAGGGGTCATTCTAGCTAAAAACATTTCCGCCATATGTATATGATTTCCTATCACTATCGAGGTAGGGAGTTTTACGAAATGGATCAGTAATAATAACTAGGATTTTGTGCACTTGCAGTGCCATATGCATATGCACAGCGCCTCATTTTGACCGCTACGGCAATGCCGTGCTCATCACGAACGATGTTTCTGGAAGGGTTATTCTTTACATGCTATGCCGTAAATGCTGTCGGAACAGATTTTCAAAAGCTTCAGTTAAAACTAATTTTAAAATTTTTTTCTTATAAGTTCGCTGGAACTTGTCTCCGGAGAGAGGATAAAATTCCACCATCAGTTTAATATTATGACATTTATGAATTAAGGTTTTTCTTCCCTTGTTGCGTTTTTATATAAATTGCTTTGCATTATTTATGGCGTGATGATTTTTTTGCTTTCTAAGGAAGACACTTCGGTAAATAAAATTGAATTTGTTTGGAAATAGAAAACACGACAGGCTTAATGTTATGTCATGTTTATTAGCTTTTGCAACAGCGTTTGCAGTCAACGAGGCGGATCGGTATATAATATTACTATATGATCATCAAGCCATGAAATATGTATACACTGAAGGTTAATGGCAGGTCAAAATATGTACTAGTGATTGCTCTTGCAGCTTTTATTGACTCTCCGAGTCCTTGCTAGTAAAGGTAGGCTGGATCGCCGGTAGATTTCTGTTCGAGCTCGGAAAACGTCGAACAGGCTGTGGGTGGTATGATGCAGGGATAAAGCTCGCTGAAATTTTGAGTGCAAAGGGTGACTGTATCAGCCAGCACCCTCTGACCCAGACTACAGGCTGTGAGATTGTTTTCTTTTGCAAAAAGCTGTGCTTTTGTCATTCTATATAGCTTGACGATTCATGATTCATCCAAACAGTGATGTTGATGCATTATTGCCAGCGTGTTTCATTGCGGTCGCTCTGGCATCGTTAGGGCAGGATTTGTATATAGGCAACAAGTTGTGTTCACGACTGTGCTACGTATGAAATACCCTGATTTAAATTTAGTAACAGATTGACACCAGATATTGACCACCATATTTGTAACTAAAGTTTAGGGTTTGACTCGAACCGCTAATTG